TAAGGAGTGATTTTAGACATCTTAAAGACATTCTTAGTGATCAGCCATAAGAATGAAGTCAGACGAAGTTCCCGATGTCTCAATTCTCTCATTCTTAAACATGATAGTTTTTTTTTTTCTCTCTCAAGGAACCTATAGACCTGCCTGATGTCCTTGACTCCTTCCAACACACGGAACCTTCAAGAAATAAATTGCTCGAGGTTGTCTTTGAGGCGGCGCAGGAGCTTAGTGAGAACCCGGTAAGCATGTCGTCAGCTACTTCCTTCCCCTCCTCTCTCTCTTCTTTTTCTCAGTCTCAGTTTTTGTCTTTCACTCTTTCTTTATCGCCTCTCTCTGAAGATACTCATATACTTTGCACACACGCTCCTACGCACAACTCCCCTCTTAAAATAACCTCTCATGACCTGCTAGTGCTTGTATTAATCTTGAAGATGGCCGGGGAAAGTCGGCGTGGATTTATTTCTTATATAGATGAACAAGACATTACATTTCCTCATGTCCTTAGCACACGAAGACACGAGTCCCGTCCTGGGGGAGAGACTGAAGGGAAGGATTGTTTATTCAAAATAGTTGACTCGGCTTAGGTCAAGGGTCAAGGGTTCGTTGCTTGACCTCTCCCCCAATGAACGTCGGGATTTCAGTTCAGTTAGGTAGACCTCATAAATACACAGCCAGTAAGCCAAATACGCTTGTAATGTGAACACTACAAGGCGTCCGAGTGGCTAGAATCTCGAGAAGGACACAGGGACGATCTTCCCATGTCTCCTATACCCCCTCCTCGCCCCTATCACACACACACGACCCCGAACACACTCTCCCTCGCCCTTAACTCCTTCAAGGACCACCTCCAAACCTCAGCGTCGTCTTCAACAGGGCACTGAGGAGACCATCCCATCCCCAGACATCAGTGACCTTGTGGGTGACGCCTCTTCCTTCTACGAGTACGGCGGGTCCTTCCCCGACGCCCCTTGCCTTGGGGAGGTTACCTGGATGGTTCTTCGGACGGTAAGATTTTTTTTTTTCTTACGGGTGATTGTATTTTCTTTTTGAGTGTATTAGTTTTGTCTGTGAGATCAAATGTGTTCTTTATTATTATCATTATCATTATTATTATTACTTTATTTATTTACTTTTTAATTGATTATTTTTTTTTACAGACTTCTTTCTTTATGTCTCGTGCTTTGCATATGTATTACCTTAACTTAGTGGTAATAACAGTGATATTCAGACATAATATTCTTTAAATGAACACACACACGTACATAAACACACTCACACGTGCACTCACTCACAAACTCTCTCTCTCTCTCTCTCTCTCTCTCTCTCTCTCTCTCTCTCTCTCTCTCTCTCTCTCTCTCTCTCTCTCTCTCTCTCTCTCTCTCTCTCTCTCTCTCTCTCTCTCACACACACACAAAACACACAAATAAACGAACACAAACGACAAACGAAAAAAAAAAAAAAAACAACAAAAAAAAGCATTTTTCCTCCTCTCCTTCCAGGCAGGAGTAATAGCGAGGACGCAATTAGAGGACCTAAGAAAACTGAAAGACGAAAATGGAGATGAGATAACGACGAATAACCGCCCGCTGCAGCCACTCGGGAATCGGACACTCTTTCTAAGGTAGTTTTGAATAGGTTTATGTGTTTTTTTGTGTTTTGTTTTGTTTATAGTTTATGATATCGTTTATAGTTTTTTTTTTTTTTTTATCTAAGACTGATTTTTTTTAATTTTTTTATGTTAGGTCATTACGTCATCACACACACACATACATATATGTATGTATATGTATGTATTTATATTTATGTATAGATAGATTGATAGATATATGCACACGCACGCATATATGTATGTATACGTATGTATTTATATCTATGTATATATATATATATATATATATATATATATATATATATATATATATATATATATATATATATATATATACACACACACACACCACACACACACACACACACACACACACACACACACACACACACACACACACACACACACACACACACACACACACACACACACACACACACACACACACACACACACACATACAGACTCTCTCACACACACATACAGACTCTCTCACGCACACACACCACACACACACACACACACACACACACACACACACACACACACACACACACACACACACACACACACACACACACACACACATACAGACTCTCTCACACACACATACAGACTCTCTCACGCACACACACACACACACACACACACACACACACACACACACACACACACACACACACACACACACACACACACACACACACACACACACACACACACACACACACACACACACACACACACACATACACACACACATACAGACTCTCTCTCACATACACACACACACACACACACACACACACACACACACACACACACACACACACACACACACACGTGCATATATGGATGTATCTCGATCCGGATACCAACTTCCGGTACAAAAATAACATCCGGGTAACTTGTCTATATCTTGCTTTCCTGGAAGTTTTCTTGCCTTTATTATTATTATCATTAATTATCATCATCATTATCCGAATTTTTGTTATTATTATTACTCTGATTGTTAGCATTATTATTTTTGTTACTGTTATTATTGTCATTATGATTCGTAGGAGTATTGTTATGATTACTATTGTTATTGTTGTTGATTTGACTATTATTATCATTTCCATTTTCATGATTAATATCATGGTTATTATTGTCAGTATTGTTATTATCATTATTATATTATCATTATCTTTTCATATCTATTATCATTATCATTAGTTATCATTATTGATATTATTATTAGTTATCATTATCATTAGTTATCATTATGGATATTATCATTATCATTAAACATTATTGATATTATTATCATTATCATTAGTTATCATTATTTATAACATTATCAGTATCATCACAATTACCATCATCATCATTATCATCACAATTACCATCATCATCACAATTACCATCATTATCACCATTATCATTATTATTATCATCATCATCACCATTACTATCATCATTATCACCATTACTATCATCATTATTATCATGATTGTCATTTTAATCATCATTATTATTTTCCCAGGGTCAACCAGCACGAACTCGTACACGAATACAAGACAATGCTGTTGAGATTTAAAAGGAAGTTAGAGAACGGAACCTTGCAAGTGTCAGAGAATAGCGGATCCTTGCAATATGCTGCAGTGTCTTTGCAACGAATGTGTCTCCTAGTGCTGGCCGTGTCTTTCGTTGCAAGACTGGGTGTATAAGGAGGTGAGGAGGGAGAAGAAGAGGAGGGAATAGCAGAAGGAAATACAGAAATCAGGATTGAGAGGAGGAAGAAATGTGGATTTATTAATTTATTTTGTTATTATTGTCTTTGTGTGAAAAGAAATCTCTCTTTCCATTATTTATTCTACTCTTTTAATTGGATTTATTGTTTTCTTTTCTTATCGTTCTGTCTATTGCCGCTTCTAGCTAACACAAGGATCTGATTCCATTGTAGTATTGGAACCAAACTGCTTTTAAGGAGAAAACACTCGGAAATACTTTAGTCTCTGCTGAAGTGCTCCGTTTTCTTTACTTCTGAAGCTCTGTATGGGATGACAAATCGTCTCTGAAAAATTCCATATAGTAATAAAAGATAAAATAAATGATTTTGTTTCCTTATCCAACATATTTTACCAAAAGTGATACGAGTCAAATTTCATCTTTAATATGATTAAAGGAATAGTTAAAAATCTTGTTTCGTCTAGTAGTTGTATTTCTCTTGATAACTAATTACAGTGACATTCTAAAATCGTTTTCGAGTAATCACTTTATGATTTATAACCATAAGTAACTCGTCCAAGGTATGTGGTATAACACACACACACACACACACACACACACACACACACACACACACACACACACACACACACACACACACACACACACACACACACACACACACACACACACGAGCTCCCACAAGAAAATGTTTGAAAAATGAACCATTCTACAATTTAAGACCAGAACTATATGTGTAATTTAGGCAAAGAAAAAAAAAAAAAAAAAAGAAAAAAAAAAAAAAGTTGTTCAGTACATGTCTATCTATCTATCTATCTATCTCTCTATATGTCTGTATCTATAATTATATCTGTCTGTATAAATCTATGAGTCAGTAGAGGATTAAATAGACTGATAGGTAAACACACACGTACACATTCCGATATTCGTATCTCAAGAACATTATTCTTTACTAAATCATGAAATGCATGTCAAATCTTTCGTATACCAGTAACCATTAAATGATTTATAACCATAGGCAACTCTTGGATTTGCTTCGTTAACAATTCATACACTCTACACCATGTACCCGTGGATAGAGGAGCGATATACATACAGTACAGCAATAACAGTAAGAACAATAACATCTTTAAGCTAGTTTCTGATCTCTGAAGCCGTATTTTCATTCGAAACGTGTCTCGATTACTGTCTCGAGAGTCATTCTCGTGTTTCGAAGCTTCAGAAACACGGATTCTGTTTGGGAATGATCTTAAAGAGGGCAAGAAGCATAGGCGTAGGAAAAAAAGGGGGGGGGGCAGGGGTGGCGACTGCCCTCACTCTAGAATGGATTCTACCCCCCACTCCTCAACTTTCGAGGATATTCCCCGTAAACAAACAGACGGTGTGATTTCTTAGTTATGCAATTGTTGTTCACACACCCCCTGCAATTGAGAGGGAGCTCAACCGAACCTGGTCAAAGTGAAATAGCCATTATGTCATGTATTATCTTAATAAAAATGACTGACATTTTAGTGCACAAATTAATTTCCTCTCTTTAAAACTGCTAAACTCCAGGAGCTTCCACACTGGCGCTGCCCCTGGACCCCGCCGATGGCTTGCAACCCCCAGGGCCCCCGGATATTTTTTTTATAAACCTACTTTGCCCCCCCCCCTCCACTTCAAAATACCTTTCTACATCTATGAGAAATGCACTCATCCTAATTTCCAGCGTGACAGTCTAAATAAAACTCGAGGAGTCTTATTAACTAGAAAACAAATAAGAGAAAAACAAATGACTCGAGAGATGGGTGTCACTGCATTACGCAATTTATGGCAAAAAAATCCACCAACATGCCTTCTCTCCCAGACCATTAATAGCCATGGTGCTTCCAGGCGTCGCCGTGTGCCCTCCTGCTTCTGGTCTTCTGGCGTGTGCTCTCCGAGGCGAGGGCACTGGGTCGCTGTGGCAGGATTGTGACGTAAGCAGCCGGGACATCCACAGACTCCTCCTCCTTGTGTTAGTGAAAGGGGAAAGAAGAATTCAGTCGACAGCATTTGCAGAACAGATAGACAGAGTTGCACCAGATAGAATCATTGAGAGATATAACTGATACATTACATATCTTCCATGCATTGCTATACTGCGTGAATTTTTTATAGATACCGTAACGTTGTCAGTTCCTCCTGCCTCCTCTTCTCTACTTTCTTCCAAAAGAAACCTGTCCCGTTTTCTTCCTCTGGGTTTCTTTCCCGGCAGCAAAGATAGAGACTTGAACTTCAGGGTAAGTTTCCGTGGCTGTTGGAGGGAAAAGGAAATTGAAAGACGAAAGCAAAGGGATAAAAATAGCTGCTAAGACATTTCGTGAAATGTATCCTTCTATCTTCTTTATTTCATTGTCTTTTTATTCTTCCCCAACGCTTTGACTTTTTCTCTCTGCCTGTGTCTTTCTGCCCGTTTGTATTTGTCTCTTGTTCTATCAGTCTGTCTGTTTGTCGATCTTGTTTCTGTTTGTTTGTGTGTCTGTATCTGTTTCTGCCTCGTCTTTTTCTCTGCCCCCCCTCTCTCTCCCTCCCTCCCCCACTCTCTCTCTCTCCCCTTCTCTCTCACTCCCTCCCTCCCTCCCTCTCATCCTCTCTCCCTCCTTACTCCCCCCCTCTTCCCTCCACCTCTCTCTTCCTCCCTCCCTCTTCTTCCCCTTCTCCCCTCTCCCCTGCATCATTTCCTTCGCTAACTTACTCTAAGTTTCTTCTTCTTAACCACTTGTTTGCGGGGTCTTTCCGGCAAGCTCTTTGACTGTAGACATTTCCTTTTCTTGTAGTCATCCTTCATTTTATTCAGCTGCTTGACGATCTCCTTGCCCTGAAAAAGTATAACAGTTTTAAGGGTTTCTGGTGTGTTAGTATTAGTACTGTTTTGTTGTTGTTATAATTTTCATCATTATTATGTTATTTTTGTTATCCTCATTGTTATTATTATTAGCATTGCTGTTGTTGTTGTTATTATTATCATCATCATTATTGTTACTACTATTATTATTATTGATATTATTATCATTATTATCACTATTATTATTATCATTATCAATTACTATCATTATCATTGTTATTATTACTATTATCACCATTAGTG